CCTAGGGAATTTTTGACCAGCTGAGGTCCAACTGGAATTTCACATAGAAGAGAAGCTGAAGGAGACAGATGAAAGACATGCTTCCCATGCTTACCTAAAATAAGAACAGTGAATAGATTTTCAAGAGTTGCTCTTCCTGATGCCCTGTCATACAAGAGCTATGAAGGATCGAGAAACACACCTGATCAAGGCACTCTGGATTTTCCCTCAGCATTTGCTCAAATATTAAGATTATAGCTGTCCTCTCCCTTCTTTCAGCCCCCTTCCCTTCCCTCCCCTTCTGACTCTGCAAGTGAGCAACCCGTGGTTCCCTGCCTGGGCTATGCCAGCGGAGGGCACTCTAGCACCGCTTTTGCCAGATCAGCCCTTGCCCAGGGTTTCAGTTCAGGGTGTGATTCTGAAAAAAAGTGTTCAAAACCAGTTAAGTAATCCGTTTCACCCAGTTGCTGCTACTAGATTTCTCAGAATTTTATGCATTTTCAATTTCTGTGCACTTTATAAATAATCTTAATTGATTAAGACCCAGACCACGTGTAAAAATGCGAGCAATCACAAATTATTCCGGTTGGTCTGCTGAAGTTTAGGTTTTCTTGCAGCTCTTCACACATAAACAGCCTTCCATGTATCTTAACTGTTTGCAAGTGCTGCCTTCCTCAGTGGGACATTTTGCTTGTGTTGTGCCTTACAATATAGTAGTCAGGGAAAAGAAAAAGGGAAAGGAAATATTTTAAAAGGCTGTAGAAAGCTGTGGTGCCTACAAATGCCTTGTCAGATAGCCACAGATACAATCTGTCTGTAATTGGTTATCTGAGGAAGGGCTCCTGTTTAATTTTAATTCTAGAAGAATCATGCAGTATGTGAATATACTGAAACATTTTCTAATATTTACTGTGTGAAAAGGAAGTCAGAATCATTGATGTTAAGAGTTGTCTTCTGATTTCTTGGGAGAAGTCTGGAGCAACTGGCCGTGACAGCGGAAGTAGGCAGCATCGCTGGGGAGTTTTATTCCTAATGTCTCAAAGTAATATCAGATTAGGCTAATCTTTATGCTGATAGTATAAATCATCCACTTTGAAATGATTTTTGCATTTGCATTTAAGGCTGTTAGACTCTCTCTTTGGGCCTATCTTGCTATATCTAGTTGCTTGAGTCAATCAGTGAGGAAAGCCCTGAGCCCTGGCTTCTTGGAAGAGCAAGACTTCTGTGGTTTAGTCTACATATCACAGTCCTGCAGTGAACATCTCACTTTGTTTGAATTAAAGTTACTATCTTTCGATGAAACCATTAAAGAGTGACTGAATTAAATGCATCATAGATGCACTCATTTCTACTGGTAGCAGAAATATTTACTAACTTCAGCATTAACTGTGGGCTGAAGGCTAGGTTTTTGATAAGTGCTGTATTGTAAAATTTCAAAGAGTTATGAACTGGAACTTGTGTTACATCAAGAAACCGTTCCATATGTTTCTGGCAAAAGAACAGTATTGCACAATACATTATTTAAGCAAACAAGACATTAAGTAATAGTACAAGGAGGAAACTTGCGGAGAAGGAACGTACAGATAATATGGAGTAAGTTTTTGACAAGCAGTAGGACACTTCAGTGCTTACTGAGTCTGTTTAAATCAAGAGCATGATCATGTGGGTAAAGTGCTTGCTTTCTTAACACTACCTTACTTCTTGAATATTTGTAAAGAAGAAAGTTCAGAGATGTTTTAACTTCATTTTGCTATACATTTTTTTCCCCTTAAGAAACCTTACTTGCCTTCGACCATGAGGCAGTTGCATCTGTTTATCTTAACTATTTCTTTAAACAAAAAATAAAAGCCTATGTGACATTTGCTTAGAAAAACTATTAGAAATGTTGTAATATTTAAGGTGATACTTTTTACAGGACCAAGTTCAAATTAGTCTTTCTGGAATGTAAGGCCGGAATAGTTTTCCAGAACTTGTGACTAAGTAGAAATCTAGTATACTTGTTATTATTATTAATTACTGCTATTAACATACTATTTCGTATGCTACAAACTATGAGATTATTACTAAGTAAAACTGGTAATACTAGAGACTATTTTAGATTCTAGAAGCTTTAGAATATTTGAGTTTTGGCTTAGAGAGAGTTAATGTCAATAGATTGTGTTTCTACACTTGATATTTGAGTATTTTAAGGATTTTTAAAAAAGGCTTGTCTAAGCAAACAGTATTTTTCATTCAGTACATTGTTACATTACTCAAAAATCGTGGTTTTGCTTACATGAGGATGGTGGTTAACATTTGCAAATGAGAGCTGGGTGTTAAGATCGATAGCTCTATGAAAATATCTGCTCGATACTTAGTAAAGGGAAATGGCAAGAATTGTCAGAAAATGGGAGAATGAAAGAGAGAACATTATTGTGACACTGTTTCCATCGATGGAGCCATATGGTATCTTAATACCATGATCTGGTCTAGCATTCAATTTCAAAAAGAATATAATGGAAATGGAAAAGATCCCAAGGAGTGGAACATCTTCTAGGAAGCACTGCTGGAGACAGAATACTGAGCTACATGGACCCTTAATTTGACCCACTACATAATATCACAAATATTCTTTATTTTCTCAGTTATATCTATTAAAAGTAATTAATTTTATTAAGGATACCCTTATTTAGTTTTACGTAATGAATACATTAATTTAAATGTTTGTTTTGTATGCTGTTACCTTAATTACCATTTCCATCCAAATGTATCTTGGTATCATTCAAAGCAAAACCAAATAAATAATATATGCCTCATTCACTAACCTTAATGATAAAAGTGTAAAAAATAAGAATCTGCATATATGCATTACACTATGAAACAATGTGAAACATGAACCAAAACAATGTGGAAAGTGAACTGTATCTTTCTGGCTATGAAAAATAACAACCAAATTTACTTCAAAGGTTATATTTTAAGGATTGTGATGGTCTATGAGAATGATCTGTTTCTTAGAAATTAAAGCACAGAATATAAAAATATCTTGCTTAAATCAAGATTTCCCACTTACTGATTTGAATCATGCTTTAAATTTATTAAATATATATAAAAATATTGAATCAAAATAATTTTAGTCAATTTGCCTAGATAGACTATATTTATATCTGACTGGTTTAATATCAGCATTTCATGAAAGGTAATTTTTTTCTGCTCTAGGAAAATGACAATAATATCTGGCATATTCAATCTTTTGATTTGTTTTATTTTTCATTCTGGATATTAGATTCACTGTTCCACTGAAACTTTCAGCCTGAGCAAGTGAGATTTATAAACTACAGTTTCTTTGTATTCTTTGTATTAAATGTTAGATGTAAATAGTGGTTAAAAAATCAAATAACCTTAAAAAAAAGTCTTTCAAAACCTATACATTATTATCACTATATTTATGTTCTAGTTACATAATATGGCTATTATTTATTAACATTATAAAAAATCTTGCTCTAAAACATTTTTTAAAGGTAGCATTTACAGAGTATTTTTATAAAATATCTCTATTTCAACATATTACGGGTAGAAATTTCTGGATTAATAAATTTTTTTCTGACAAAATATTTTTCCGACTGGGTATTTCTCATGTTAGCTATCTTACAGTAATTTCTACGGTTTACTCCAAAATATTGCAGATAATTTCAGGCTTGTAAAGACCACCTTCTCCTTTTCCCCCACAATTATAGAGAAGCTTAAATTTTATAAAACTATCCCTGAAAAAAGTCTTATTTACTGTAATATTCAAGGTCTGAAAAACTTAAAGGAATGATAGTTCAGTTTTATTTCAACACGTGCAGGTAAATCAATGCCAACATTTATTTTAGAATTCTACACAATGCAATTACAATTTGCAAAAAATGTAAAATTCTCAAAATGCAGCTCTTTCTGGAGAAAGTACATTGTTTATTGGCAGTAAATGAACTCTTTTAGGTAAACGTGGATAAGAAGATAAAACAAAGTGGCTCACGGCTGTCTTGTATATGGAAGATGCCTGGTTTTAATCAGTTTGAGACAGGTTATATTGCTAGAATGCAATTCTATATTCATGTTGAAAGTGACTGTAGTCTACTCAGTTACATAAATTTACTCATGGTATTTAGTTGTGTAAATCAGGTCCGGCCTTTGAATTCCTATGAGTTGCCATTTTATTATATTCTTAGCTCTAGCTACACAAAGGCCTTTGAATTCTTATAAGTTGGCATCCCATCGTATTCTTGGTTCTTGGTACAGAATATATATAAAAAAATCTGGTTTTTAGTAAAATACTAGATAGGAGAAAAAAAATAACAACTCTGGTGCAAATAATCCCCAGTAAATGAGATAATGTCTATATGCTAGTTAAACTTTACAAGTTCCACGGGATACAGCATACTTTTAGATGTTCATGTTTTCATGCAGAACTATTATTTACTTTGCACAAGAAGCTAATATCACTGAAGTGAATCTGTTGTACAAATTAATTTGTTCCTGTATTAAATTGACATGGTGTATACATCTCTTTTTTTTTTTTTTTTTCCAGCAGGTGGACTCATTGGTGGAATAAAGAAACTTCTGAATGCTGAAGGACTTGCACTTGACAATGTAAGGATGGATTAAGGTGATGCAAAAAAATTAGATAATTTCTCTCTTCTGTTTCACACCATAATCAAGTATATAGCGCTGAGAACGTGAATGTTTTAACAAGTTTGCCTGACATTTGTACACCATTAGGACTTGAAAATCCTGTAATCTAATTTGCAGAAGTAATTTCTTATATATTCACAGCGAAGTCTTGGTATGTTCTGTATCCTGGTTGTCACAAAGTATCAGAGTGCTCCTTTCCAGTTGGTAACGCATACTGTAGTCAAAACAGATCTAACACACCCATCCCAGGACTGGCTAGTCTGCATGAACTGCAAGTCAGGAGGTTGCAAAGGTGATGTAGTTCCCTTCCCTGGCCTGTGGCTGACTTTCTGCAAGGCCAGTCACTGGGTGCCAAGGTTGAAAAGTTTGAATAATGTTTGCCAGGGCCACAGAACCCAGTAACTGAAATGGAGACAGCAATTGTCTACCCATCCTCTCTTTGATGGCATGGTAAAAGAATGCTTCTCCTGGATTCATTCCACAGGAAGATCACATTTGATCTTCTGTGAGTTACTTTCTCTGGGCTGAGGGGCAGTTTATATGGATTACATGAGACAGCAGCTGAACAAGAGGCTGTGTTTATGATTTTTTTGCAAGCAAGACTTATCATACATTTAATGGCATCAAGATATAGATAGTTGTAGTATGCCAGGCAGTAAACATCTAATTCTGTCTAGCCATTTGCTGCGGTCAAGACATTATGAACATATGAAAACAGCTCACCTAGCAATGTGACCTGCTTTTTTTACCCTTCCATTCCATTCATAGCTAAAGTTATCAGAAATCTGAGAAAGCTACGCTTATTATGCATGAATCATTTGACAACCGTTGAGGATGGCATAACCTTCGTTGTAAGATCAGTTTCTGGTGAACTCAGTGAACTTGAAGAAATCCAGCTAGTCAACTGCTGTGTCTCCAGTGATGCTGTGGAAATTCTAGGTAAGAATAGTAACAGTAACTTTACAAACTGCATATGTATGTTTTGGCAATCAAAACGTAATTCTGTAACAGAAGAAAAAAGCATATAAGGATAAAATCGGGAACACTTAGGTTCACAATGAGTTTCAGTTAGCAGGGATATAAAATGCAGTAAGGAAAGTTTATATAAAGCTTTTATATAAATTATAAGTATAAAAGGTACATAAAATGGAAAGATAAACTATTGCATAGCTCTGTAAAAAAATAGGAAAGGAAATAATGGATGATGCAAACAAAACTAGTTTTCAAAGTTGTTTTTTGTTTAAGTTATTACAAAAAGATTCATTCTGATCATGTACCTACTCAAATCATTCTAACAAGGTCACAGTAGTACAAGCAAGGATGAATAAAAATTATTTAACTAAAACAGATGAACTCAGGTTAGCAGAACTTGGGAAAATTCACAATTAAGTACATAAGGAACAAGATGAAAGAATCACTGAACCATAGACAACTGTCTCTGAAACTTTGTAGAGGCAGGAAAGTGGAAAATTCAGTATCTTCTGCTTGAAAGGAGGAAATTATAGACAAGTCAACCTCACTTTGATACCAAGAAAAATTCTGAGACAGATTATCACCCAAGCATTTTTAAGCACTTAAATGGTGATAGAGATAAAAGGTAGTGTGAACAAATCATGTCAAACCTTTTCAGGGAACAGGGTAATTAAGATTGAGAAGAGCAAAGATAAGTTTGGATCGTAACTCAAATGAGGCTTTTAACACTGTCCTATAACAAGAAGCTAATGAAATATATATAAATAAAACTAGCGCACAACTAGTTAAAAAATTACTTTCAAAGACTTATCACAAATGTTTCATTAAGTGAGAGATCATTTTGGTATAATCAATTAAGTCCCTCCTCATTCTAACCAATATTTTAACTGATGGCTTAAATGACAGAATGGAGGATGTGCTTATCAAGTTTCAGATGATACTGAGCTTGGAAGGCTTACAAGCCCTCTTGGAATACAAAACCATAAATAAAATTGGATGCATTTAAAAGGTGGTCCAAAAACAATGTTAGGCAATTCAGTATAGACAGCTATGAAGGGCTGTAGCTGGGAATGAGACATCAATTTCATTAATATAAAATGGCGATTAGCCTGTATAGTAGGAAAGAAGCACAAATCTTCTATGGAAGACTGAAAATATTACACTATTGCAAAAATCATGTGCTGGAGAGTCTGGAGCAACAAATCTATGCCCAACCTCAGTATCACGATTAAGAAAGGTATAGAGAAATCAAGAGAGAGAGCACCAAGGACAGCTAGAGGTTAAGAAAATGTGACTTATGAGGAATATTTTAGTTTTGTTTTGATTGAGAGAGAAGTCTGGAAAAGATACCATAAAATGTTTTTGTTCTTTAAACGTTGCTACAGAGAGATAATAATCAACCATTCTTTTTGTCCACTGGGAGAAGAAAGTAGCTAAATTTGCAACAAAGAATATTTAGATTGGATATTGGCAGAAACATTCTAAAGCCAAGAAGGTAAAATAGCACCTAGGCAGAATATGGAAAATTTCAAAGAGCAAGATAGATAAAAATGTATCGTGACTGGTTTAGGCTCGTCAGTATCCTGCCCCACTACAGATGGTTAGACTCTAAGGTCCTATCTAGTCCCACTCTTCCACAATTCTTTGATTCTGTAAAACATACATTTTTATATCATAATAAAAAAACTTGACAGCTTTGTGAAGCAGGAAGTTGAAGTCTCCAAGGCTTAAAACACTGAAGAATCTCCCATGTGTTCAGGCAGCTTTGACCTGCTTCCATGTTACAGAGTCTTAAATCTGTCTCATCAGATGTTATCTCATAGATGTTGTCTCATCACCACTGAAGATTCATTTAGCCACCAGAGTGTAAGTTATACAGAACCATTACTCCAACTTTTACAGCTGGCCAGGTCCTTTATTTTATCAGTTCCTGGAGACACAATTAACAACAAGAGAACCCAGTTTGCACCAGAGGGGCATCAGAAAAGTAAGAAAAACCTGAAGGGTTTTAAAAATTTTGTCTTGCTGTTCATTAAAAAACAAAGCTAAGAAAAGTGCAATAGAAGACAAGTCATGCTGCACAGAAAATATGTATAACAAGCTTTTTTTTCCTCCCATAGCTCAGAATCTTTGTAATTTGCCACAACTGAATGTACTTGATTTATTGGAAAATTACTTAGAAAATAAGGGAAACAAAAAGATGCTATACACAGACTTCTGGTAAGTCAGAAGATTTCTTTAGATAAATCATTTAAATTGGGAATGATCTTCAATTATAGGACTTATCTAGACAGAAATTCAGTAGTTCTTTCCTCTTCTAAGTAGGATATAATTGGTATCCTGAAGCATTTCCTCTCAGTGAATGGAAAGTTTCTAAAAGTGAGAAATATTGTATGCAATTGGCTGCTCTGTCTTTGCTATCAAAGCAACAGTCTTGGAGTCTGTAACCTGCCAGTATTTTCTTCACTATTGAAATGTGATTTGGTTTACATTTTTAAAATGATTTTACAGTGGGCTGTTATAAGAAAAAAAAAATTAACACTTATTTTCTTTTAGTTGATGGCTTAAATGTCTTACCTGAGATGAAAGTGCTGATGCTTCCCTGGGGAGATGATGTAAAGGTTTGCCTAACAAAATTGTTAGAATTACTGGAAACAATCCCACACCTGACAAAACTGGGACTGAGGAAATGGAGCCTCACTGATGAGGAGGTCAGAATTCTAGGTAAGTAAAGGTACTGTGGATGAGCAAAAGATGAAGGACCAAAACTAGAAAAAAATCAAAAAATCCAGGAAACCCAATAACTTTTAATAATGTAAGTGAAATAGCATCAAGTTTGGGTAGGAGAGATATATATTATATATATATATATATAAAAAACATATATATAATTAGATGAGCCAAATAATGAACACATTTTTACTGAACAAAAACCATTTTTCACTTCATAAATATTGCAAGGAAGACTGCAGGCAACTGGAAATTCCCAGTGAAGAATCTCCTTGAGGGGGAATATTTTTCTGATTGACAGATGGATTATCTCCTCCATAAACACGAGAGGAATACAAGTGGACACTTCTTACATCAAATCTTCCACTGACATAAGATCTGTTATGGATTGTACGTCAATAGTAGAGTTAAAAAAGGCTTATCGAGGTAGGTAGCTGAAGATCAGGGAGATACAAAAACTATCTAGATTCACATCACTCATCCCTTCTGAGGATACAGTAGGAATGAAATGCCAAAATGAATGAATATTTTCATGAGCCTGACCTTGCAATGCTTTTGTGTGAATGATCATGAGCAGCAGTCCTTAGACCCATTTAAGTTAATGACCTCTCTGTAGTTAAATGGATCCTGTTGTGTGCAGCATACTGCAGGTTAAGTTTTAACGAGGAAAAAAATGTGATCTGTGACTGCTGTGTTTTACAGTCTTCTACATAAATATATGTTCACAGGCAATTTTTTTGAGAAAGAACATGTGGAGAACCTTCAGCACTTGGACTTTGCAATGAATTGTGTCACAAATGATGGCTGGCTTTCCTTCATGCGGCCACTGATCTCTCTCAAGAAACTGGTATTGTAGATTTCAGCAGCAAACGAGGCTGGGTGCCTGCATCACTGTTAGTCTGTAAATTAAGTCAGGTACTAACCACACTGAATTATTTAAAGAAGATTAAAGTGACTGGATGGAAATTTGATTGCCATGAACTTGGACTTATTAATGGTGCAAAGGTAAACTGCAGAAAACAATTTCAGCTAGTGCATTCTTAAACAGAATGAGCTTTCCCAGTGGACGTTCACTTACAATCTTCCATGTTTGAGAAATTATCTTCTCTATAATCACACATCACATCAGCAGCTCTAGGGTTATTTGGATCTCCTGGTCTGCTACTGAAATGGGTGTGAGAATAGTATCACACCCTCTTCTGTGAGAAACAGGTCAAAAGAAAGTGAGAGAGAGATCACCTTGCATTAGCCTGAAATCCTGCAACCTGTAATACCTCTCAGTCTTCAAATGGTTTCAAGGAGTGTTCACTTTATCTGTGTGTGCTTTTTATGAACTCATTTTTATTAGCTTTGAAGTTTAACTGTGTAGATTAGGGAAAGCTCTTAATAAGAAGGTAACAAAGGCTGCAACTTGATAGATAATAGGTGAATGTTTTACCAGGGTTTTTTTTTCAGTTAAATATTGTCTGGCCTAGCACTGAGAAGTTTTTCCTACAGGCAGGGCAATTCTAGTGTAGTTATATCTCTACAATACACTATGGGAAAATTTAATGCAGAGACAGAATATGTCAATAAAAAGTTAGACCTCTAAAATAACAACAGTATGATTAGAGCGTATTAGCTCTGCAAAAGGGGACATGGTCATACAAGCGGCCAGAGATGTAAACAAGAGCTATTCTGCAGTTATTAGCTACAAATGAATTCTTACTCCACAGCAAAACACCGGATAGCTTATCTCAAGTGACTTTTACCATCTCTAAGTTGCCACCATTTTGGCTTGTAAAAAGAAGTCAGCAATTATTTATTTATTTCGTAGTAAGCTACTTCACATTTAACGTGTGGTAAAAGTTTACAGGTGGACATTACAGCAGAGTTCCAAGTGTGCTCTTAACTTCATACTGTGGTCCAATTTATAGGAAGTTGGTTGTTTTCCAAAACCCTTAGTTCCTGGTGTAGACAAGCCAGAAGGCAGTCTCCAAGCCCTCATAGTCCACAAATATCCCAGGAGAGAACCGTGTACACAAAGCAGCTCCAAACACAGCAAAAGAAAACAGAGGAGTCACTTGATCGCTTCTGTAAAAAGCGGTGGCCAACTCAAGACAGACGATTTCCAGTCTGCCACTGGAATGAAGGGACAGGAGCACCAGTTAGAACTGCTGTTTCATTTCTCTAGGCAGTGTTGAACCATGGGTGCTTGTACATCACAAACCCATTAACTCTGTGTTATCTCCTTATAAGCGCTTGTACTTGTGAGTTCTGTTTTGTGCCAGAGTCCTTCAAAGCTGTTTCATTCTTCTCCCTGTGCCCTGCTGGTAAAAAGAAATACAGCATTTCCCCTGTGGTTAGGATCCTTCAAAAGCATGATCTCAATTCATCAAAGCACTGAATTCAGTGAAAATGTTTGTTATCTCTATTGATAAAATCTGACACAGGCTAGAAAATATTTTTTTTCCAAGCAGCAAAACCCTGTATCAAATATATAGACTGAAAACTGAATAAGAAGTAGAAAAATGAATTTTAAATTACTAGGGTGCATCTGTGAAAACAGACACATGGATTTCTCTAGTAAATACTTATTTTTTATTTTGACACAGAAAGGAGATTTCAAAATAATACAGTTTAAAGAAGATAGTCTCATCAGCATTTAGGAAATTCAGTCCTTTCGATTGCTTAGTTGCTTACTAGAGCAACTTTGTGCTTCATAGCTCTATTTCAGATGGGTCAAAGTGTGAAAGAATAACCAAGCTCCTGGTAACCCCTGCATCTCTCTTCCCACAGCTGTATTTCATTTTTTTCTTTCCTACTCCCTCAGCATACTATAGTTCTCACCAAAGACTCTAGTTAATGTTGTTTACAGTAGAAACAATGAAAAGTTGAATAAATTAGAGAACACTTTTGTTCTGCCTATTCCTTTGTTTACTCTTTAGCACTGGCACCTGATGCTGCAGACCCAGGCGAATTTCTTGCAATCCACAGCATTTTTTTCTGTAAGAAAAAACAAGTAGAAAAGCACACTTTCTATTTTCTGGTGGATATTGAATTGCAACATACTGAACGTTCTTGTCTTGAGATGCATAAATTCACTCTTGACAGTTAAGACATATGATACAAAACCAAAGAGCTCTATTAGGCCTCAGAATTAATGTACTAGGATGTGGAGAGATCCTTGAAACAACCAACATACCTTCAAAGGACTTAATTTTCCATTTAAAGATAGCTGCGAAAACTCAGATGTAGAAAGCAGCTGACAGAAAATAGTTAAAAGCTATTGCTGAACCTGAAGAAGAAAGTGTGGGTAGTCCAGGTAGTTGGCCTTGTAAGACCAAGATCTTGGAGAGATGATGGTAAAAATTCAGTCCTGGAGCTTGTATGGAGATGGGACATCCTTTTTTGAGGACAATTGCAATTAAGGCACCTTAGAAGGAAACTTAGGGAGCAACCAGGGGCTTGGACAAGATGCTGAGAAATTAGAAAGACCAAGAGAATATTTACCTTGTACTCCAGGTGACTGTGCAGTTTTGTTGCCAGTTGGCATCTTGGACATAATAGGACCAAGCTGGAAACCTGAGTTATAGAGCAGGAAGATTTAGGTAGGGCCTAGAGAGAAAATAAGAGCCAGTTGAGGGCTTATGACCGATGCTGTGCCAAAACCCAAAGGACTATGTGAGCACGGAGGCAATCACCTTCCTAGAGCTATGAATGGGATATGTAAAGTTTTTGAGTGGAGAAAGGGAAAGGAGAAGAGAACTAAAGAACAAGTCCATGAAGTCACAAAAATGAACAAATGATGTTGCTCAGATAGTTGGGGACAAATCTGTACAAGTTTGATTTGACAGTGCTATCAAATTGAACTGCTGACTGTGCTTGGTTTTAGGCTCTCATGCTGTTCAGCGTTGTCTTCCAGTCTGAGGAACTTCTGTTTTCTATGAAAAACTTAGCAAAACCGCACATAGTTTAGTTATTGTAATTAAAGGACTATTCTCTTCTTTTCAATGTGTTGTGTTGTCTTTTATCTCAGTGTCATGTTTCCAGAGAGGGTGCTTTGCACTGGCAGCCTTTTGCCCTCAATTTGTGCTCATGTAAGTAAATACATATAGCATATAGCAACGGAAGATTAGGCACTAGAAAAGTGGAAGATTATGTTGTGTAGAGAACTGGAGTGTGTTCCGTGTCTTGTGAGATCAGAAACAAGTGCCATTAACTCCAGGCTTTGGAGGAATCCTTTACTTTTGCTAAGTAGTAGAAAAGTCTTTGTTAAGACTGCCGATAGGGGGAAAAAAAGCAAGCAGCTGAAGAGCAATGTTTTAACCACTTTCAAAAACGGATAACTGAGTCTTTGGAAAACAGTTTTAAAGAGGAATCAGTTGCAGCCTGTAGACAGTCTCAATCGTACTAGAAGAAAGACATAATAAGACCAAACCCTAGTTGTTCCGTGGTGGAGTCAGTGAACAAACCTAAATTTTGGTGTGCTGTTTTCCTGAGTAAACGGGCACATTTCAGTACTTCTACAAAACATTTTAACAGTGAAAATTAACCAGGAGTGTCCTCTCCTCCATCCTATAAAGGAAAGGAGCCTGAGACATATATAAAGCTGACTGTTCACATTCCTTCAGTTGCTTTCCCCAGTTTTCCTCCACAATATCTCGGATCATATTCTTTTGTATTTTGTACGTGCTTGTAGTAAGCACAGTAGTGCTGCCTGTAAACAAGAACAATTTTAGGTTTGTTTTTACAGTCTATCCCCTTTCCTTCCTAAAGGTCTGATGATTAACAAGCTGAGTTATAATGCTATTGCTACACATTCACAACTTAGGGATGAAAAGATGCTGATGAGATACTTAAAATGTCAAAACATAGATATACAGAGAGCAGGAAACTGCACCCTACAGAAGATCATTGTTTGTTATTACAATACTGTATAGTGTATGCTTTCAATGATTTATGAACGATCATTTAATCTGCCTTCCCAGCCCTCTGGACCTGAATTAGTCTCTTGATAGCTCTGATTAACTTGGCCCCCTTCAGTCGTATAATGCTGTTTTTGCTTGGAGATAAGCAGCTTTTGGTTCGTTGTATTTGGACTGTTTCCCACAAGTGGTATAAATGTGTCCTTAATGCTTCTTACAAGTTCGTTAATAAGATTAGAAGGATGATTGTAATATTTGTTGATTACTATCCAGTATACTGCTAATCCATTATGGCGGTGAGGAAAGGGAAGTACACAGCATGGATTTGAACATAAATCGCAAACAGTAGCACTTGTTAACTTTCAGCAGCTTATGTATTTTATTGTGCTCATTGCTAATTAAAATTCTTACACAGAAAGCTTGCTTCACCCTAGGCTTGACCTGCCTCATATGATGCACTGAGGTGGCCATTTCCTTGAATTAGGGTAGTTTGGGCATGTGACAAGTATTCTCTGATCACCTTCCTTATTGTGAGTCTCTAATAACTAGCTAGCACGCAAGAAGAGCATTAATGTCCTTATTGTGTTAGTTCTCCTGTGTGAAAACATAAAGGGTTCCAGTGGAAGGGAAATAAGATTGGGACTGTTTCTAACCATAGAGATTCCTTCACGTATGGCAAGCAATCCTTTAAATCTACTCCTCTGAATTTGCTTTCCTTTTCTCTTTTAACTTTAGTCTTTTCCACTCCCATTCTTTTTTTTTTTTTCCTGTGAATATTCCCTGATATCCTTTTTTTATACAAAGAGATTTTTAACAAATCTTTTAACAAATTTTGACTGGAATATAGGAATGATCGGGTTACTTTCATGGGACCTGCAACTGCTCAAATGCTTTCAAGACTGGGACCACAAAAATTAGCTTGAGATTTGGATAAAATGGTGTCACCTGCCAAAAGGCAGAAAATAACAGTAAGAACAGATCTGTCAGTGTTAAAATTCAGAAAATTCTCTCCAAATTACAAAAATATAATAGGGAAAACAGCCAAGGGTTGTTCCTCTTCAAGCCCACGAATACGCAAGTATCCAGAGAGAAATCTCA